GCCCGGGTTTGTTTTTTTGTTTTTTTTTAAAATCATAGCCATTTTGCCATTCTGACTTGAATGAGATGGAATCTTAAAGCATTTTTTCCCTGTTAGGTAAAGATGTTTGAGCACCTTTGCTGAAAATTGGGCTGCTGTAGCTATGTGAGTTTATTTCTGAGTCCTCTAATACATTCCATTTGTCTAGATATCTGCTTTTAGGCCCACAAAATATAGTTTTTGTTGCTTTGACGCTGTAGTAGATTTTGAGACCTTATATTCTTTGTTCTGTGTAGGATTGCTTTGGCTATATGGATTCATCAGTGATCCCATAAGAATCCTAAGAGCGTTTCCTAGTTCTGCAAAGAATGCCATTAAAACTTTAATGGAATTATATTGAATCAATAGATTGCTTACAGTGATATAGTGATTATCATTTTAATTCTGCCAGGTCATGAACATTGGACTTCTTTGCCATTTTCTATTGTCTTTTTCAGTTTCTTTCCTCATTATCTAAAAGCTATTGGGAATGTGATGTATGCTGCTGTGTAATAATCCTTTTGTACACTGTGAAGATTTGTCACTGTGATTGGTTTAATAAGCAAGATGCCTGCCCAACCACTGAACAGGACAAAGTTATGTGGGAAAGCCAAATTGAAAATGCTGGGAAGAAGGACATTGTCTGGAGTCACCAGCCAGGTGCAGAGGGAGCATGGGATGAACATGCTAACAAAGGTACTGCCGCAGGCAGAGCACAAATAAGGAATATGGGATAACTTAAATTGTAAGACCTAGTCAGTAATAAGCCTGAGCTATTGGCCAAGTGTTTGGAATTAATATTAAGCCTCTGAGCGATTATTTGAGAGTGGCTGTGGGACAGAAAATCTCTGGCTACAGTATGCCCCAATTTCTTTCCTGACAATTTCATTGTTAGTAATGGAAAGACCACTTATTTGGGTGTGTTGTTTTGTAGCCTGTTCCTTTGCTAAAAGTGTGTATGAGATCTAAGAATTTTCTAAAGGAGTATTTAGTATTTGAGATTCTTTAACTTTATAATTGTGTCACCTTCAAATATTTGTATTCCTTTTATTTCTCTTGGTAAGACTATGGACACCATATAGAATAATATATATGTGCACACACACAAACACACACACACACACACACACACACACACA